TCATGCGCAACATGGCCAGATCGTAAGTTTTATAATATCGAAAACTCGGTGACAAAAACAAAATCGCATTTCAATTAAAACGATAAAAAGACCAAAAATTAGTAAAACAAATATATAAAGACTTTTTGTGTTTTAAATTTACCGGTTGGTCAATCAAACGAGAATGTACTACGGGAACTGGGATTGATTGACAGGTATACATTTGATATGTATGACAACAAGTTGCATGTCCTTTTGTAGTAGAACAGGTTCATCATTTCTGTACCGGTTTACATAAATTTGACTAAAATACGGTCAAAATATTTATGAATGGAAATTATTATATTTACATCTTGTTGCCAGTTTCTTTGTTGAAATCAGTCATGTGAATATATTTCTTATAAACGGCTTACTTCTATAAAACATAAAGAAACTATCTTACGATTCAGATAAGTTTATTGTTAGTCGTATTGCTAGTTCAACTACCATTTTTTGCATCTTCCGTAAAGTAAATCATAGACTAAAGTACTTTTTAATTTTTCTTTATTTGTTCATTTGGTTTCCATACCAGAGAATCGGACTTTCATTCCCCTGAAATACTGCTAGATTTCGAATCGTTATTCTTCACATTTCAGTCTTTGGTAGAGACAGTCATCCTCAGAAGATGACTGACTCATCCATGGCGACTTGATATAATTCATAGATCATTTAGGAAAACATTTTTTTCTCCCCTCTCAATTGAAAGTTTCTCATCTCCGTGCTGGCATGGCTAAATGCTTCTTCTCATCAGGTTGGGACCTGTTTATGTTATTTTGGTTGCTCCAGACATGCTGCTCCATTCCAGATTTTTACATTATTCCCAGCTCCCTGTTTTGTGCTTGCTAATCCGGGTCTTCATAAACCTTTTGGTTCCACTGTATAACTTGCCTTATTTATTTGGCAAGGGAAGTCAAACATCAAAATAATGGCCATTTGTTTCTCCGATTTCAGAAGTTTACGCTACCAGTTAACCAGAGGTTTTACTTGGAGATTTTAAAAAATTGAGGGACAATATCTGAAAAAAAAGCCAGGTGACTGGTTACGTCATGATGATAACAATGATGATAACTTGACAGCCCACAACGTTCTTTCCGTGAAAAAGTTTTTGACGAAAAACGGCATTACACCAATTGTTCACCCCTCCTTACCGGATCTAGCTTCCTGTGACTGCTTAGACTGAAAAGGGAGATGCAGGAGGTTGAAGAAAAATCGCTGGGCCTTAGGGATATCCCGATGAGTTAATTCAACTGTTTTGAATAAAATTCAAAGTGAGAATATTGATAAATAAAGAAGGTATGACGAAATTACCGTTTTTGTACAACTGTCATTTTTATTGGTTATTGACATTTTTATTTTATTGGTTTATTGGAATTAAATGTTAATGCTTAAGAGGGCATTAATATTTAATACTTGAAGTGGAGAGGATGATTCTGTAACGCTGTTGGGATTTCTCTGTGAGCAATATCCTTTTCATAAGAAAAAGTTTGATCGATGTAACCCTCAGCTACTGTTGTAGATTTCCATCTTCTGTACTTCTTTATATCCGTTATATTCGCTCCTGATCCTGCTATCAAAGAAGCAGAAGACCTTCTGAAACAGTGATCTGTATATTTCTTTGGTTTCGGGAGGTTCAGAAACTCAGCAATGGTAGAGGGCATTTTCCCAAACGTGTTTATACCAACTGGGTTGGCACTGCATTCATAATTTGAGTATTTCAAAACAAAACCGTTGATGATTGATAGCAGAAGGGCGAAATGCAACGTATTTATTAAAATAGTCAATGTTTTTCCAATAATGCAAAAAAACGACCTGTTTTTATTTTTCTATTGGAATTTGAGCAATCAAATCATCTAATGATTCAATGTCTTCTATTAATGAATGGCACAGCTCTTCACGCCAGCAGGCTTCATATATTCCGAAGAAAGTAGCAACTTTTATCATCTGGACTTGTTCAAACGTAAGAGTTTTTGATTTTGTGGGCCTATAACTTTCATTTTTCACTTTGAGAATGCTATTTTTGATTTATCTTCCAGACCGGGTAAGAAGACGGTTTCGCTGAAATTTCCTTCGACGTTTTTAAGTCTACACCAGCTAAGAAAATTACAATTTGCGATGTCGTACTGCTGAGCCGATTTTTTTTTGTAACAATTCAACTGAAGCTCTTTTTGCAGACTCTTTGCACAATTCCTCACCGTTGTTTTTCATTGTGCAAGACATTAAACACCAGCAAGAACTTTAAATGTGACTTTAAATGAAACGCGTGAGCTGTAAACAATACTGTTTGTTCGTAACCAGATGCACCTATTCAATTCAAGGTTATTGTAATCGTCAAAATTGCCGCTTTAGTCAGATAAAGGGAAATTTTTCAACATACTTGTTATGAAGAGATTATAGTTTGCACATGAATTGTTGAAAATTGGTAATGTTTTCATTGATGACAATTTGAATGGTATTAATTATTTAGCACGGCTTCAAATAAAGGTCGTATCAATTTTGACAAACTCATATCTTCATCCAATAATTTTCAGCTGATATAATATGGTTTCAGCAAGGAACCAAATCAATATTCGATAAAATCAGTATCAGTAGGCGTATATTTTCAAATCGATGGATAGGCAGACGAGGATCGATGGAATGGCTAGCGCGATTCTCTGATTTGACGTCAACAGACTTCTGTTTACGATTTGTCGAATGTTTTATATATAATATCTGATTTTTTGACAAAGCTCACTTAGATTAGAATGGTCACACCTGAAACATTGAGACTTGATATCAGGATTGAGTATTTTGAAAAATCCCCATACTGATTTTTTCTCGTTGTTCAAATCAACAGGATGGACTTCTTCAAACCTCACACATTTGAGAGAGTTGGGAGCTGTTTGTTAAGTACATACATCAAAAATTAAAATGTTATAACAGCAACGTGATGTAACATTTAGTCATCATAAGTAGAAAAACCGATTGTTGTGCACAAGTGAAAAATTGGAAAAAAACTCCCAAATTAAAATGTTCATATCACTCTGTATCTATACGTATAGTTCGCAATCAAGATGTTTTTCATATATTGACTGTACCTATTCAGAGCATAATAACAGCAAATTTTGGTTAAACTCATAGCAAAAACCGATAAACCAAAAACCAATAATGTTTCTTGAGATCAATCAAAACAAGCCGATATGATGAATGTAATAAGAAATGCCTGGTAATCAATATCAATACCACAGCTGGAAATGTTTTTTTCTGACAATTGAACGACTCTTATTTCTTGTCCCCTAGATCATTTTGATATATGTACTTCTAGAGTTTCCTCTTTCGACCAACTTGGTATTTATTCATTGAACTGAAACAAACATTTTGTTTTTGAAATATATTATTTTGGAGAGGTTCAGCCCGTCAATTGACTATAATAATTTCCTATGAACTATATATTACAGGCATTTAGTGGGCAGATATCGTTAGCGTAGATCACCAACAATGTCGGTCCAAACATACTACCTTGCGGTGTTTCAATATTCAATATGAGTTGATATGTGATTCCTTCCTTTGAAATTGGAGCTATATGAATCAGTACAATATCATCTGGGCAAATTCAAATCATTTTCTGTGTCATATTTTTTTGTTTCTTTAATGAAAACTCTGAACAACCAGTTACACACTAGATAATCTAGGAAAGGTCTCCAATACATATTATAGAACAGAACTTTTTTTCAAGGACAAAACACAAGCACTACAGAAAACCAACTGAGGCGCTCTGAGAGGGATGCAAAGTAGTGATTCACGTTGGATTTGAATCGCTGAAGATTAAATTCACATGGAAACACGTTCTCAGGAAGTTCATTCTACATAAACGCAGTTCTCCAAATGAAAAAGATCCTAACAGTGAAGTTCGAAGTGTACTGAGTTGAACCTCAAAATGATGAGCAGCCAGAGTCCATCGCGTATTTCTGAACAACTCCCGTGAAAGTATCTATAATGGAGAGGTAAATCTCCAACCTTTCTTCGATGTTTCAGACTATCAAGGTTGCAAGTGATGTTCGTGTCGCCAATCAGGCGGAATTTTTTTTTCTGAATGGCATCCAGCAGCTTCAGAGTATGTTTAGGGGCGGAGCTCCATACATGGGAACAATACTCCAAATAAGGTCTGATCTGAGCTTTATGAAGCATCAAAAGTTGTTGAGGTGTATACAGTTTTCTGGTTCGGAACAGTGTTCCAAACTGTAGAGAAGCAGCATTTGCAATTCCAGCGACATGATTGTGTCAAGATATATTGGTGTCCATTTCAACCCCCCCAAGAAACTCATCGAAGCAGAAAGCGGAATTGTCTGACCTGATATTATTATATCCGATTCGGAGACATTTATCTTTTTGGAGAAAACCGATGCCTGGGTTTTCGTGGCATTGAATTGAACCTGTTTACCTTCACCTCAATAAATAGAGTGATTCAAGAAGAAGTTAATGTGGATAATTCATTAATGTTTGGTATGGATTGGTTGAAAAATGATAGTAGATATTGTCCAAGTTTCTTCAAAAACGTTGCCTAATCCCTCAGGGATATAACAAAATGATGCAGTACATGATGTTCTTCTTTCAAAGGTCTACAAGAATGTCAGATAACATATGTGTAAGTTCAAAGGACATTTTACTATTTCCACTTGAGTATTTAATGTTTCTTTACATAATGAGTCACTTCAAAGGTTTCCTTTAGGTAAATAGGTACTTATCTATGTTCACAGTGGGGAACATACTTTTTGTTGGAGGATTTCATCAAAGGCCTTCATTATTAGTCACGAGCTGTAACACTATTATTACAAAAAACGTATGCCTTGTAGGTATGCTTTGCTACCAGTGCAAAGCCGGAGCTTTTCGTTAGTCAGAAAATAAAATGTCCAATATCTATTATCAGTTATTTATTACACATTTCACAATTACCTCGACTTGTGTTCGAGTCGTGTATAAGGGAACTATGAAAAATTAAAAAGATATTGTATATACAGAATTTTCATCTATTTACAATGGTAATAATATACAATTCGGCAATAAATTAATAAATCGATATTAAATACTATAATAAATAAGATATATATTACATGTTGAGATACTACGCTGATTTTTATATACAAACTGAATAAATAAATTCGACAAACCGTCACAGAGGAGTTATGAATCATGAAAGTGAACAACAACACAATTAGGGTATATAAATGATTTTTCAAAAAAAATGTTCCTATCGAAAGTTGCTTTTTTCAGACGGTGACTTAATGAGAATATAATTCTGTATTATTTATCACTGATTAGCTGAGTTTCCTCAAAAATGGAAGAGAGCACATATTCACTAGATATTTACAAAAATTTAGTAACTACATATTCCGAATTTAAAATCAGTCTTTACAACAGTTTTTCACATAATATCTATAATACTGATTGAAAATTCATTAGTAATACTTTTGGCACTATTTCACACAGAAAATTGAGTACGACATATACTATAAATGAGTATATAATTATCCTTCAGCCAGAGTTCAAGGAAAATTCTGGTTATGGTTAAAATGAGTTTGTTAGTGTTCTTTATCCTTCAAGTAAATATCTCAGGTTTCAAGTAGCGACCAATTCCATCACATATTTTTAGGTTATCCATACATGTCTACCTTGAAATAATAACAGTTAGGTTATCATCACCTCTAGGAAGCAAAAAAAAAATTAGTTATAACAGTAAAGAAAACTCAGACATTTGCTTTTCTCGCGACAAAGTATGCTTGCACTTATCTGATGGCCTTCTTGAAGGCTATAAAAGTGTCAAAATGCTCTATGATCAATATTTTGTTGCAATGTAAAGTTATCTGGCTCAAGGATATTCTCACAATTCAAACACAAGTATTAATAATTTTTTTCGTTCTACACACGTCACATTTCACCTCACAGCACCAATGGAAAGTACAGTTACACCTCTCCACCACAGTTATCTCCTGGGGGCGGTAACCCCTACCACAACACAATAAATCACAACCATCCATCCCCATAGAAGTATCGTTGCAATGTCTTCCATGAGTGCCCTGGATCCCCAACTCTGGATTTCTCTCGCAAAATCCTGGAGACATCTCGTTGTATACCAAATCGTTAACACTCGGTGGCTTATGCTCGGGATTGAATGGCTTGAGTTGGAAACCATACTTATATTGCTTCCTCTTGTTTTCTCTTTTGGAGTGAATACTATTGGACATTATCGAGTTCATTTTCGGATGCTTGGGAAGTCTGTTGCTGTGGGGTTTGTTGTTGCTTCTACCATGGCCTCCGTTAGCTCCAGTTATGTGTGAGGCTCCGTCATATCTGTCTTTCAGTAGGTCACCTACAACTCTGAAAGATGGAAGCCGCATCCAGCAGGTTTTGACTGTGCAAGATCCTGACATGCCGTGGCACTTGCATTCTTTCCTCATCTGAGACTGAACATGCTGAAACAAGGAAATAGGTTTCATTAGAAACAAGTAATTGGCTCAGATGAATATATATATTAACGGAAACTAAACATGTACCAAATACAAATTTGGTACGACATCCAAGCAAAGAAATCGGCGAAATTAGTTAAATTTTTGTCCTGAAAATGATTTGAGAGTTTGATGATCAGTCATGGATCCCATTACAATAGCTTCATCCCATTCAAATAATCAGCCCACACTGTAGGTTTCACGGAAGCTTTGGTGTACCAGAAGAACTGTTTATCCAGATCAGGTTTCTTGGAAACTGTTATGAGAACTATTCTTATCTTACTGAACTTGAAGACATCGTAGTCTAGAAAAGATCAAATACTATACAATAACCGATTCCAAAAACTCTTTAGGCTGAATATATATGAATTGTTTATGTACCATTCTGACAGCGTAAGAAGTCATTTTACTGTATTTTCTCATCCCACATAACTCCTTTGAAGGTTTTTGAAGTTGAATGGCTATCGGATATATACAATAATTGTGCTGCAAATGGCAAATGGATAATTGCGACCCTGAAATTGATGAAAGGTATGTTTATCTACTGGATTCTTAGTAACTACTAGTAGGAACCATGCTAGAAGAAATGACGAACGACGCGTTGCTATCAGTTTGCTCATTTGGCAAGGAATTCCCATGAAGTGCTTTCATCCAGGCAGTGATAACAACAGAAGAAACAAAGTAAACCGTTGAAATATTTGCAGTGTTGGTGCTGATGTTGTTAAATTGATGTTTTCGAATTATAATTTTGTATAGTTCAATAACGATGGTATTTATATCTAAGTGTGCAATGGAAATGTGAATAGATGAATTCTGAATTCAAGGTTTCATGAGGGATGGCCCTTACCGAAGTGAATGAGAATTTGCTTCAAATTGTTGAAGAACCATCTTCATAATTTGTTTTTCTTCACATTGTGATTGAATATAAACTGTTCATAGACTTGACGCATAGAAGGTGAGTTTATCTTCTGTTTCATCTCCTTCAATATGATACTATTGCATGATTCTCTAGAATAAGGGCCTTCAAATCACGCGAGGTCTTCATATTACGAAAGAACTGTAGAATTTTGTTTTCTGGAAGAGCTTTCACATGACATTGACAAATATTCTGAAGGAATAGATTCATTTAGCTGAATCAAAGCTCTACCAGATGCAGAAGAGTTGCAGCTTGAATACAAATAGTTGAGTGATGATCAAAATGGTCATCGTGCGTTGAAGGCAGTACCGAGGAAGGACAATTAATTTCAACCGAACCAGGAATTACAGCCCAAACTCAGAAAACAAAGTATTCATCATCACAGGGATGTAAGAAAGTCTTAGAATGATTAAGAGGCTTGCTTTTCATAATGACCACAATAATGAGAAAGTATTTATGTTTCGGTAACATCTTTTCGAAGTACAAGTGCTATTTGTTTTTTTTACAGTGAGTTGAGAAAATTAGTTCACCAAAAAAATGTAAATTTCAAGAAAAGGTTTTCGTTGAACTCAGTTCTTTGTATAGCGATGAAGCACCATCAAAAACCACAGTATATCGCTGGTATAGTGAATTTAATCGTGATCGTAGTTCGGTTGTCGACGAATTCCGTAAAGGTCATTCAAAATCGGTTGTTGTGCTACGAAACATTGATGCAATATGAACTGATAATGCAAGATCGTCATGTGACATATGGTGGGATAGAGGCATTCTTGCACATTAGTTCCACATCTATACATTCGATTTTACATGAAATTTGTTTTCGTTGGATATCCCATAATTCATCAATCGCTCAAAAAGGCTCGCGTCAAAAGGTGTAAGGAAATTATTAAAAAGTTCGACCGTGGTGCTTCAAAAGACGTGTATAATAGTGACAGGTAACGAATTATGGATATATGCCTATGACAGTGTGGATATTCCAGGACAAGCTATATTCAACAAAAGTTGTTCGTGAAAGAAGCACAGCGAAGCAAATGGTGGCCTGTTTCTTCGATCGAATGGGTCATATGGTCCCTGCTCCGCTTGAGCAACGTAGAACGGTCAATTACCAGTAGCTCACGACCATTTGTTTCTCAGAAGTCTTCGGAGAAATTTGTAAAACTAACTGCCGAAGACGAATCATTCTCCATCATGACAGTGCGAGCTCTGTCACATCTCGTCAAACAGGTGAATTTTTGAGTGGTCAAAACCTCGAAATAATTATTCATCTAAGACACCTAGGAAGAAGCTCCCGTTTGACCCAGCAAGACTCCTGGGAGCAATGGAATATCCCCCGGAGCAGATCCAAGATATCCCAGAGGAATACCCACTGGGAATCGGATAGCGAACAGTTACGTCCTGGAAGGAGCTGAAATCGGATGCCATTTACCCCCGGCCTCACAACCTGGACCCATATTCCAATTATCACTGCAACTGACCCGGACCACTCCAACGGAACAACGGAAAAACAAGAGAAACAAACAAGAGGAACACATGACAACATAACATAAGACGTCATCACACAAGACAACACACACATACACAATTCACTAACCCTGAAGAGGCATAAGCCTATAGCAGGGCCTCACATAGAATACACTATCACAAATATTTTTTAATTTTAACTAAAAGCTTGAATAAAGCTTGAACAAACATTTTGTACGTATGTATGATTCATCTTCCGTGCAGTCGTGATTTGGCACCCAATTACTTCTTGTTCCCGAATATCAAGGGTGGTTAACGACTTACGAGCGCCAAAAAAGCAGTTGGAGCGATATCAAAAACCATATTATGGAGGTGTCTCAAGAGAAATGAAAAATCTTCTTCGACAAATGGTTTGAACGAATTCAAAAAGTATATTGATCAACAACGAAATATTTCGAAAAACAATAAAGCCATTTTCATTAAAAAAACGTTTGTTATTATTTGCCATTCCGGAAATATAAATAGTACCCCCCTACCAGCATAGAGCAAATAATCCAGATAGACTGATAATTCTATGAAACTACTGTCATCTCACATCCACCTTCATTCAACCACTATATTATGCATACTACTCCGTTCCCTCTTATTGAATGTAGTCGCAAAAGTAATAAATATCGCTGTAGCAAAACGACCAAAACGTTCTTGATGTCTCGGTAACTAATTTTTCCGGTATACGAGCATTAGAGACATCAAATTAAAATTCGGTGTGTGTACGCTGTAAAGGCGGTGCGATACGATTTAACCTGGCACCCAACAGGGCGCAGATGTCTCTTAGATGTGCAATAGACTCCCTGCAGAGAGATACCGTGTTACACGGGCTAATGTGCCAGCATACCAGCATAAACATGTGTTTCTTGGTCGTACGTGAAATCACAGAAATTACTTTCAGATAAAGGCTGTGTCGCTTGGCTTCTTCCCCGCTTTTACCTTAAATGTCAGCTATTTAAAGCGTGTTTTGCAAGTTAAATACCAGATGTCGTTGCTCCCCATTCTACACTCGGTTGTATGGGAATTTCAGTAACTGATGTTGATCGAAGTGGCCATAATGGTTTGATGTGGAGTCTTTCATGTGAATCAGAATCAAGTAATTATTCGGAATTGTGAAAGGAAAATAGTTTTTTTATTTCTTTCGATAAATATTGTATTTTCAAAATATATTCATAGAATGATCACGTATAGATCAAACCAGTTCCAAATATCCAAATAATTACGCTCATAATGAAATAATCACAGTCATGATTTATAAATGATCGTCTTTTTGGTGACGTTTGTTATGGGTCATCATATATACATTTCTTTCTTGATTGAAATATTTGATACAACATTGAACATCATAAATGTGTGCCATATCAAATATTTTTCTTATCCTATTACATATTATGTAATCAATGAATATCTGTATTTATGCTGATGAATTGAAAACCTTAGGAAGGGAATATTTAATTTTAAACAGAAGATAAACAAATATTTTAGAATGAAAGCCATTACTGATCTGGAATGATGTTATTGTAAGCACATATTGAAGACATCATCTCAAGAATTTATAAAAGGACAGTTATTCACATTATGGCTCTATATCATCTGAAAAACGAATTGTATTGAGATATTATGTATAATTTCATGATTTTCATGAGCTGAGGAATGACGCTAAATTGAAGATATCAATTTATAAATGGAAAATAGACCAATTCCATCCAAAACGAAAGGAACGACAAGAGTATTCTATCATCATCAATACAAAATATTGGGTTTGTTCATGAACGAAGGTTAATGGCTGTGGAGTTTTTATCTCTAGAGAGAGAGGGGGGTTTCAGGGGTTGTAGTTCAAAACTTTGACGGAGTTATCTTTCCAAATGCTAATTTTGTTTATAAATTACCACTATCAGGCAGTTTCACTTTGCCATTATCAAAATTGGTTTCGTTTTCGTAAAATATCTTGTTTTCATAAAATAAAACGACTCTCAAGAAACAAATGAAGTCAACAACAAACATCATCTCAGGAATTCCCCATTCAACGATGTTGATAAACTCTCGAAAAACGTTTTTTTGTATCAACGTCCTGAGCGAATGTCACTTTAATAGTAACGTGCAGTCCCCGCGGTCAGTAACAAGTTAATATGCATTTTAATATACAACTCAATGAGACCACCCGGTAGTAATCGGCCGTTTTCGCATAAATCAAACCTTTTTCTCACACCAGTCATCATCAGAATGTTTTAATATTGCATAAATTACAATCTTGCCAGTAGGAACATCTACATTCTTTCATTGTGTTTGAATGTTTTTGAGCTACCAGGGTTTACCAAAAGTAGATTAATTCAAAATAAGGTTTTTGAAAAATCAAAAATCAGAATAATTCTCATTTGGAATGACAAAGTGAGAACCTGTTGATTTTCGAATTGCACTAGTTTTGACTTTCGACTGTTTCTGTTCATCAAGATATGACATTTTGGAAAACATATTTTGATTATCTCTGTTGCGAATTTTGCAGTCCGGAATAATGCCATCTGCAGTCCGGAATAATGCCATA